GAGACACTCTAATAATTTACCTACACTTCCCACCACTAAAATAAACACAAGACTACATATTTTAGGGTCAGCTGTATGTATGGAGTCAGCATAGAAGCAGTAAAGAAATGACAAGTAACCCTCAAATAAAAATAATGCCAAAATAATCTTTTACCAAACATGACTCCCATAATGTACTTGTATTTTCTGATAACATTTCATTAAATGTCAAAACTTACCAGATTCATTCCTGTGATCATGAGAAAAAGGAGCTATTTCTCGTGTGCAGAGACGCCAACTCAGCATACATCAGGTGAAACATTGGCTGCTGATGTCAAGGACAGGTACATCTCCAAGCCGATCTTCCTGTAACAAACCAGAGAGGTAATTTTATTCCAAGAAACAGGATGAAAAAGTCAGGCAACAAATGATTTTGACAGAGGAGGTCAAAGGCAACTTTCCCCGACCAATCAGTTTTCAAATTTTTCATTTCTGGCAAAATTTGTGTCTTTGGCGAAAATTGATGGGTCTTGATTTTGACAGAAAAATATTTGGAGTGAACCAGGGGACCACAAAACTACCTTTGGTTCTGTCAGAAACCACCACCCTCCACAGAAACTTGATTTTTAAGAGCTAGTCTCTCAAACTATGTGCGGGTTGCCTACCTATTAGGCAAACTAGCTAAGAACTCTGCTATGGTGGGTCTGCTCGATCAATCCAAACCAATTCCATAAATTTTCCAAATTGTCAAGATTTTTAAAAGACTTTTTTAATGATAACAAATCAGCCTCGATTTTGACAAAGGAGGATTGAAATTGGCAAGGAAGAACCAACGCACCAAAACCATCAATAACTGACCTTTGACGCAGACCAAAGAAAGCTGGAAGCCCCTCATAGAGTCTGTACAGAGACAAAGTGAACCAGCGTTGGTTACTATCATGTCAACTCACCTATTTTTTTGAGTAAAATGACTCTATAGACTTCTTCGCTCATGTCAAGAACACTTCCGGGCCGAGCTCCTGCAATCATATTAAACGGGACATTTAGCGTTGCTTCTTTTCTTTAGTCTGCTGCAATGGAGGCATTCAGCCAGACTCGTTTGTCTTGTCCCTTCACTGACATAATTTTTAAAATTTTAAAACAAGTGTACAGAGGTACTGCTGATATGATTCTACAAGCAGAGAGTTCATCTGAATGCAATTAAAATTAAAGGCTAATGTTAGCAGCAAACTACACTTTTCCATAATAATTACAAAATTCTTAATAGAAGAAATCAAAATACGAATAGAAGACAAGGTCACAAACAATGCTCTTGACACTGCAAATGTATTCAACAACATTGTTGAACTACCAAAGAAAATATCATTAAAAACACAACTGAAAGTTATCAAGCACTTGGGGAGAGAAATCCCAACTCAATGTTTCTTAAGCCAACAAATTGATTTGAAGAGATAAAAGTAATAAGAAGCCTCAAAAACAAAAACTCATCTGGACTAAATGAATTATCAAATAATACTATAAACAGAAAAAAAAGAGCAAACAGTATAGCCAGACAATTGGCTGATATAATAAATCTCTCCTCTCCTTCAGCAATGGAACTTTCCCAGATTGCCTTAAAAATAGCAAGGTGGCTCCCATGTATAAGAAAAATGATGAGATCGACCCTAAAAACTACAGGCCACTTACTTAAACAACAAGTATAGCCAAAATATATTAAAAAATATATTATGATAGGCTTGAAGAGTTTACTACTAAATCCAAAATGATAGACAATGAGCAATTTGGATTCCAAAGAAAAGAAATCAACTGCAATGGACCATTTCATAAAATCGACTAATGAAAACAAAAAGGTCATAGATATGTCGAAGGCCTTTGTAATTGTATCTGTAATAAAAAAATGGCCATAATACTTGAACATATGGGAATTAGAGGGGAGGCACTAAACTGGATCCAAACCTATCTAAGGAACAGGAGGCAGTTTGTTGCCATCACTGGTATCACTGACACCACTAGAGAAGTTATTGAGACTATCTTCTCAGACTTCCTTGAAAATGAATATGTAGTCCCTCAAGGAAGTATATTAGGGCCATTACTGTTCCTGCTATACATCAACGAGTTGAAAACCATCATATATAACAACAATAATGACTGCCTTCCAGTGCTCTATGCTGATGATGCAAAACCACCTCTACTGCTGTGGTAACTAGAGAAACCAGCAGACTGATACTGACACCACTGAAATTGACATCAATAACATTTAAATACACAATAGTGGTAGCTCTAAATTTCTTGATGTTCACCTCAACTTCAGCTGGGATGCCAACATACAGCAAGCTAAGAGCAAACCCAGAATGAGCATGTTGCTTTTAAAACAACTATGCCGGTGTGTCAGTAAAGACATAATTATTAAAACATACTTTGCCTTCTCCCACTCTCATATGAGCTATGATACCACGTTATGGGGTAGTGCATCAAAGATAAGGGTAAACTAAGTTTTTAAATTACAGAAAAGCACAGTGAGAATAATACTTAAACTCCCCAGTGGTGCGTCATGCAGAGAGATTTAGAGAGTTAAAATTTCTGACACTAACCGCAACATATATCTACGAAAATGTATGTCTTGCATATAGGCAAACTTCAAACATCAAACTCAACAAAGAAGTACATAACTCTAGATATGGAGCCCTATACTCTTGAAGAATTTTAATAGCCTGATCTCCATAAGTGTCAATCTTATTTATTAATGCAAATTCATTTATTTTAATCTTTGACCTATGATGTCTGTTTCAAGCCTGCAATACTAATAAAATAATTATCATTACTCGTTCTTTAACTCCCGACACTTCTTCTCGGAGGTAGAGAACGAGTATTATGCTCAGGTCTGGTGTAATTTAGACCCCACTTTCAGCAAAGAAATAGTAACATTATTCTTTTAAGTAAAAGTCATATCAAGTTTAATCTCTGTAACTTCATTGAATGATTAAGTTTGTAGTCTTGTCATTCTCACTACGACCTCAGTAGTTGAGGAGGGGAAGGTTAAACAACAAATACTCATTTAAAGTTATCATCATATGCGTTTTAAGTGATACTATTACCTAATTTGCTGTGTAATTTGGCTGAAATAAGCTCTATCTGGATTACTATAAGTATCAAAAACACTAGTCATAGTATTTTGATACTTTGAAGACTTGATGTTAAACTTAATTTGAAGAACCAGAAAGGAAGTTTTTAACAAGTGGAAGGTGCCTGAACGAACTGAATTTGATTGACATTTCTTCAAGAAGCTCTGGCCGGCCGGATGAGATGTAATGGATCGAAGTCAGGTCATTGATGTTTCACATTTTCTTTACACTTAGTTTACTCACCTTCCATACCACTTGAGTGGATTTCTTCAAGGTTTTGGTTTTGGATCATTGCCGGGCAATAAAAGAAAATATTTTGGCCAAATCCGAGGGGGGTTGGATACCTAGTATACATACTCCATTCTACCTCAGGGATCTCAGACGCTTCAAAACTTAAAACAGTAATATCCCACCGCAATTTTCTCTCAAGTTTGAGACTCGAACTTTCTGGATACCTGTTGCATTTCCAACAATGCGAAAAAAACAACAATAGAAAAGGACAACACTGGCTCTCGTACTGTACCTCGCTAGCTCGTGCTCGTAGTTGGTGAGGTTAGAAGGTGATAGTGGCCGAAATGGGGAGGAGGGGGGGGGGCAGGGGTAACACAACAAACAACGGTGAGAGCTCAGCGCCTGCGAGACTCAGGGTAGGCCAGCCCGCATTACTCGCAAGTACTCGAGGCAAGACGTTGCCTACCTGTAAGGCGCTATGAGACCTGTCGGCTACCTCAACTCAGTCATTACGTTACTGCAGATGATGGATGTACTTTTTGGATTATCCCAACTCATTAAGGAAATACTGGTATATTCTCAAGAATAAACTAGGAACGACTTAAAAAGTCATGTGGCTTCGCCATTTAAGGCCCTGTTATACAGAACTGTAGTGGTTTTATCAGTGCAGTCGTATATGTACTGCCGTTCATTTAAATCATCCCTCTCTCTTCAGTTCCTAAATTGCACATTCGGATTCAGGCCGACATTTTCGCAACCTATTCCGACGTCATTTTTGTGTTAATGAAATGCGAACAAAAATGGCCCTGGAAATGAGAAAAGATGAGGCTTGAGAGGACTCTTTGAACAAAAATTAGAGTAAAGTGGCTTATCTTGAAAAGAGCTTTGTTTACTTGCAAAAGGGTAGTACAATTACAAGGTTACATCTTTTCATGAATCTTTTGTGAATGAAGTGAAAGAGGGAAAACAGGAAAAGATCAATTTCACTTATACACAAAATGTGTTCATCACATATGGCATTTATAATCAATTCGTAACTAGGTAGTTCCTTTATCTTAAAGTCTTCATGACTAGCATATTAGTAAAATGGCTATGTACACAACAAACACGCAGACTGATACACAATGCTGGTGCAGTGCACGAAATCTGACGTAAGATTGAATATTTAAAAGAAACATTTCTGTTAATTTTCATAATCAGGTCATGTTTTTAAAGCCAAGCAAATATTTTAAACAATGAATGAAGAAAAATTAATGTTATCTATGCTTAAAGCTTTAAAAAAATTAGATTAACATAGGACAACTCAATACAATTTTTTTGCTCTCACTGCATTTTAAAGCTTTTGTATAATATTTGGTTCATCAGTGCATCTCCTACCACTACAGTAGCAGAGTATTCTCACATCACATTGACATCAACTATTTGTCGCAATATACCTTGCTTTCCTCCACTGCTGTAGATAAAAAATTGGCATTACTTTGATATCAAAGTGATAACAAATTATTGTCAACATTAATGTAAGAAAACACGTCACCATGACAAGGTATACTGTGAACAAATTCTTGATGTCATTGTGATAATTTGTGTCAATTCTCTGTTACTAAGGTAGTTGGCATTTACAGTCCACAATGTTTGCAGCTTTAACAGTAGGAAAAATATATTTGACCAAAAATACACTGTATGACAATCATTAAGGTAAAATAATGTTACCTCCACACATGTAGTTTCCTTACAAAGTAAATATAGATGAATGGTGCAATTTTTTTCATAAAAATCCAAGTTAAATACAAAGCCTGATGGTTGATTCTGTCTTGAAAAACCACTGCTACTGAAGCCACCTAGTAATTAGTTACCAAATTGAAGCAGTTGATGTTGCTTCAACTTCTTATTCAACCGAGATAACACCAAGCAAATGGCGGGAGCGCTTGAGCTGCACTGGTTTCACGAGACTAAATCAACTATGAGACTGATGCTTCATTTTGTATTGATTTGTTTCATTGATTTAAGCCAATGAAGAAAGAAAAAAAAAAGAGATGAGTGGGCTAGGCTTTGTGAGGCCAAACCAACACCTATAGAGATGAATTAACAATGTATGTAGAACACAATACCGTAACTTGTCAAATGAAGCCTCAAGGCCTGGCCTTTAGCTCTAATCAGAAAGGTATTCATGGTCAAGTAATTTTATAGTCTTCACTTGAGCACAAAAATGAGAAACATTCCTATTATTTTACAAGTTTAAAATAAAAACACAGACCAGCACAATTATTACATATTTTTACACAGCATATTAGAATATTTACAGTTAATCACAGTCTAGTTGAACAGAAGTAAAATGAACAATACAATGTACAATTAAAATATACAAGAGAAGTTAAAATAATTTAGTTCTGTATTAAACATCTTTACATTATGGAAATATGCACCTTAGTCGTTGTTTTGTCTATATACTACAATCATTCAACATAAATTTGCTTCTCAAGCACTCATCAAAAATCAATCATGAAGGTATTAAGAAACCAAATTTTGAGAAGCACTCAGAATACTCAAACAAAAAATGTACATATATTTACATTTTATAATGGCACAATGTAGTGACTGTAAGACTTTGAAAACCATACATTGTTATTTTTATTTTTCTACTTTAATTTTTAGAAACTGTTCCCATTTTAGATGCCTCACTTATGCATAAGTACAGACATTTTCTGTGTTGTTCTTTTTTTAAAATTCTGTGTTTGTTTGTTTACAGTTCAGCCAAAATGCTTTGCTGTTTTGTCACTACTGACAAACTATATTTAGGTAATGTTAATCACAGGTTCTCAAATAGACTGTGAGAATTAACAGTACTTCATCTATGTATGGATTCTAGTTTACAATAACATTATTAAGAACTTTCAATGCATAGGTGAGGCAGTTCTAGGCCATGCTATCTTCGCATCCGTACGTTTGTAAGCAAACATGCAATGTTTGCCTGCTTGAGCAACGCCGCCCTTCACATCTTGAGGGCATTCAGCATCAGTGAGTAGAGTTTCTGAAAGGAAAAAAATGTCTAATGTTAATAAACAACTGAATGAAATCAGTGAAAAAAAAAAAGAAGATAAGTCCTAGAAAAGAATTGAAGAGTATAATGTGTTATTGTTGGAGCGAGTTGCAGAGCTAGCTAGAACTAAGATTAGCATAAGCTGGCTAAAGCTAGGATTGACCTGGCTTATTGAGTGATCCGAGGTGTAGCTATTTTAACTGGTGACTGTAGGGGCAAATACCATGCCCTCATACTCCTAGATTTATTTAGTCTCAATAAGACAAGCTAATCAACATACCTTCACCATCAACAAGTTTGAACAGTCCATAATCTTGAGGATTTGTGATGCGGGCTTTGTGAGCAATGATCTTGCATACCTCTCGAGTGGTCATGTTTGGCCTAACTGGTAATGTCTTAGTAATTATGGAGCCATGTAGTTCATCAGGGACAACTATCTTTAGAACTGAGCGAAACTCTGTTAAAGGCCCAGTCCCCCACTGAAAATGAATAAAGAACAATGTCATATTAGACTAATAAAGATAAAATGCAGAACATATCAAAACAAATTATAAAGTAGTTTGTTAACAAGCTGAAATTGTGTCTGAAATAACTTACATCAAGACTTTGCCCTATGCCTGTGGAGCGGCTTTGCTCCTCTGAACATGCTCTGAAATTTTTCAAAACATGGACAGCAGATGATAAAGTGGTCAGATAGTATCCACCCTCTCCTGAGAGGAGAGAAGGGTGAAGAAGGCCCCACATGTATTCCGCTTCAATTTCTGCCCCCATCATTCCGCTTTGTACAAGGACCCAAACGAACAGTGGCAAAAAATCATCTGCACCAAGAGTAACAGACCCTCGTCCAGCATTTGAAGATTTCACCTGAAACATATCACAAAAAATATTCCTCTGGCTTGCTTTGACATATTGCAACTAGAAATTTATAAAGAAAGTTTCTGTACCGAGTTGAAAATGGCAGAGATGCATGTGAGAAGATTTTCAAGCTTCTCAAGAGGTGAATCGACCTCCTGCAGACGACGAAGAAAGTGGCAGATGGTTTCTAGGCTTTTTTCAGTTGGTGGAATTATCTTTGACTGAAAATACATATTTTTTTAAATTAATATAGAACAATGACTACTGATAGGCACTTAGATGCAAATACAAGACTGTGCACTATCCTATGTCCTTACCCTTATTCCCAGCTCATGGAGGGGTTTAGTACGGGCATACTGAATGTTCTCGGCGAGCAATTGAATGGCCCCCGATCGTGTGTACTCCTCAACAAATAGCTTGTAGAGGTGCTCCTTGAGAGGCCGAACCACCAGTTTGTGCATGACACCTTCAAGGATCGCGTCCAAGTTCAAAAACTCGTTGGCCTTGAGCTGTACATACGGAATCGCATTGTCAACCCATAGCAGACACGGTGCTGGAGACGTTCGGTGCGGTCGGGACTTTATTCGGCTGAAGGAAAAGCATTGAAACACTCAACTTTTGAGTGACCAAATATATTTTTCTTTTGTGGAATAATGCCAAACAATCAGAATTTTTTTAAAAAATGTATCTATACTTGGGCAGCTACTAACAAACATGCAGGGTAAAAAATGTTAGGTAAATTAACAGAAATACACAAATTTGACTAATAAAGAGGGAGTGGAATTTTAAACCCTACAAGTCCAGAAGATGGGACCAGGATGTCCAGCTGAATCGGGGGGAAATTTGATCCCCCAATGAAGATAATTAAAAAAAAAAGTCATCATTTGGAATCATTTTAAAAAACAAAACAAAATTTACGGTCAAAATAAAAAAAAATGTGTCTCAACGCTGACCCTTGAGCCAAATAACGTCCCGGATCTCCCCCGCCCTTACCTTGCCCCTCTCCTTCTCCACCTGGCCGTCAAACTCGCGCTCGCCGTGCTTGACGAGGTAGTTCTTCATGCCGGACATGAACTGGCGCATGTTGCGCATCACCACCTGCGGCCGCGTCTCCCGCGACTCCTTCGTGCAGGCGATGAAGTTGTCCACGTTCTGCGCGAAGGTGGTGCTCTTGTCGGCGGCCAGGTGCAGGGCGTAGGCGCGGATGGACGCGCCGGGGCCCGCCGTGTCGCGGCTGCGGAGCGCGTGCAGACGGGGCGGCGCTGTGGACAAAAGAAACACGCCCGGTCAGTTCACTGGACAAGCTTCAAGGGACACAAGACAAGCCAGCCGAGCCGAACCGGGGGCGGCCGGGGGCGCGGGCTGGCATCCCGCCGTGCAGCCGTGCTCGACGGGACAGTGCTATATCCAGTTAAGAATTTTGTCGTTTCTACGCTCAGCGTGCGCTCACGCTGGCGTGAGCGCGGAGGGCGAGAGGGGAAGCGGGGGGCGAAGAGGGGTAGCAGTTCTTCCGCCGCTGCCTCCCCGCACCCTGCCCCTCGCCCGCCTCACGCCGGCGTGAGCGCGCGCTGCGCTAAGCGTGAAAACGACTAATTCTTAACTGGATATAGCTCAGGCTGGTGCGCGCCAACGCAGCGCCACTCCCCGCTTCAACCTCAGCGACATGCTCGTTCGGAAGATGCCAGACAGTCGCCCCCAAAAGGTGTCGCGTACTCTCTATGAGGAGGCAACAGAGTTACGCAAACGCTTTTGCGTCGTCTGCCGGACCTGCAACTAGACGAGCCGCGGTAAACAGCCTGCGAGCGGGGTCGAGGGAGCAGGCCCGGGCCGGCGGGGGCGGCGGCGGGGGTGTTGGGGGCGGCGAGACGGCGGGGCGCGGGGCCGCAGCTTCCGCCCTGGGCCATATCACCTGAGCACAATGCTGTAGGAGGGCAAACATTTGGAGCGTCGGGGCGTCGGGTCTTTGGCACACTGGACTGGCCGGCCAGTCCGACCAGCTCGTCTGTCGCCAGCAAAACAACGACCCCAGGGGATAAGCCAGGCAGGCCGGGGGAAAACTCAGGGAAACTCCGGCGGGCGGCGGGGCCCGGGAGGCGTATGTGCCCAGGCGTTTACGTAGCCCTCACTACTTTTTCTGTTCAAGACTGACGTTTGGAAGTCGATTGTTTTTCTTCAAAAGACGTGTTTTATCAGTCGTCGTCAAAGAGAGCGACAGAGAGAGGTTTCGCTGGAACAGTATGACACAGCCCCTTTTGCCTGACTCACCCACTACTGACTAAGGCGTGCACGGTGCACGTTGCGACGCTTAGTAATACTGCCGCAGATTTGGATACGATTCAAAACCTTGAGGTGAACCCCAAAGAAGGTTTAGCAGCCCATCACCGCGTTGCTTACCTCAGTATTTACGATTGTGCAACGCGTTTCCGACCCCAACACGACAGAGATAGGCTGACAGGGCGGGGGGCGGGGGGCTTACATGACTGGTTAACGCCGAGCCGCACGGACAGCTTGCGCAGCGCGCCCCGGAGCCACCGGCCCAGGCGGCGCAGCAGCGCGGAGAGGGTGGCGCACGCCGACAGCCCGTCGCCGCCGCGGGCGGCCTTTAGCGGCGCCTTGGCGGCCGAGGCCATGGTGCACGACGCGGCGCACTCCGCCGCCAGGCGCTTGCCGCCGAACAGCAGGAACCTGCGGCGGGGCTTCACGTCGTCGTTGTTGTTGTTGTTGTGACTGGCCGTCATCGTTCACGAAAGTACAAACTTTCACTTTCGAAATTTTCGCAAAATTGAGAGTGAGGCACTGCAGACGCGGGCGCTGCGGCCAGGTGGGGCGGTCCTGGCCTAGGCCGCGGGGGGCGGGGGCCGGCTCACGGCGCGGGGGCGGCCGCCTGGCGGGCCTCGGCGTGGCTGAACACGCTGACGCGGTAGGCCATGGACACGCGGGTCAGCCAGGGCCACAGGAGCGCGACGGCGGCAACGGGAGAGCGATCGTCCATCCTTCTGGGGCAAGTGCGGGGAGCAAACTGTGGGGCTGCGGCGTGCCGCGCCGGCGAGCCAAGCACGGGCGGGGCGGGGCGGGGCGGGGTTAGGAGGGGCGGAACCGGGTGGCCGGCCAGTACAGACGCACCGCCGTGTGTCTGGGGGCGCCCGCCGAGAGAGGAGCGAGGGAGAGAGACAGGGTGGGGGACAGCTTGAGGGCAGATAAGAGGAGGACAGAACAAGACAAGAGAAAGGGACGCACGGCAGTGAGAACGGCGAGAAATGGGCTCAGCAAAGAAGAAGTAGAAGAGGGCGGAGCGCTTGATATTGAAGCAATTTTATTTTCCAGACTTCATGCGACAAGGCTTTTAGGCCCCACTGCAGTATTATGCAGTCCTCTCTCCATGTTGTTGTTTTTATGTTGAATTAACATAGATAAGCGAGGGACACGAGACGAGGTGACTTAACTGGGAGTTCGTCACGTTTGGTCGACACGCTCGACTGAAAGAGCAGGGGCGCCTCAGCAGGTAGGGGAGGGAAAGGGCGAAGGGGAGAGGAGAGTGGAGTATACATAGCGATATAATTTTACGACACCAGGACATCTTTGAAGTGGCCACAGGTGACACAGCGCAGCGCACACAACTCGAGGCGGTAGCCGCGGTAGCGCCTGTTATCAGAGGAGTGGGGGCCGCCCAGCCGGACGCCTGGCAGCCAGCACCGGACACCTGGGGCTGTACTGCGACCTCATCGATAAGACAAGGAGCGGCTCCAGACTCCAGGGACTTCCAGGACGGCTCCAGGCCGGCTCCAGGCTGGACCGGGCCTATCTCACGCGCTCACCTGTCCTGTGCGTTCAAGTCTCTCGCCCGGAGACCCCCTCCCCAGCATCCCTGCAGGACGTCTCGCTCCGCAGCCGCACGGCAAGGCACACGCGATGCACCGCGGCGATGGCCTTGGTGGCCTTGAGGGGGGCCGTTATCAGCAGCAGCACCCCTCGCGCCGCCAGAGGTGCGGCGCGGAGCACCGAGGCTGCGGGGGAGGGAGCCGCGCGGGGACCCGCTGCTGCAGCGCGGCGCAGGCCCAAGAGATTTCAAGTGACGCCTAGCGACAAAGGCCGGGTTACGTTGCATAAGGCGCAAGCGGGCGCAAGCCCCCTCCTGATAAACGGGCAAACATCATCCACTTTATTGCACATTGTATTCTGCACGGGTTTCCGCGAGCGGGGCGGGGGTTCGCGACGGTTCGCGGCCTCGCGGCTGCCGGCTGTTTGCGCCAGGCACACACCGACCTTTCTTCCGCTAAACACCAGGAGGCGCAGGCGAGAGGCGAACGGACCCTTGTCGCGAGGTGCAGTGAATGTGGACGCCGAGGCGGGGGAGGGGGCGGGCGCGGGGGCGGCGCGGGCGAGCGCACTGCGCGTGCAGGGGGCTTAGCGGCGCCGCGCCCTCTCACTCACCTGCGCAAACTGCAATGCCCCCGTCTCCCCCCGTCGCCGCCCCGCAGCGTGTAGGTGTCGCTTGACGCGCCACCATACCGTCGAGCGGACTTTGCCCCACAGTGACATCGCCAGAGAGCATAGCTTGGCTTCTGCCAGGCCATTGTAGTCCAATCACACTAGCACTACTACCGTGTCTAATTTTAGATTCCCCTCGTCGGGTGTCCAGACTTTCCCACACCAACCTGACAGAGCCTCATATGTGCCCCACAGCTGTTTCCGCAGTGGGTGGCACAGTGTACAGTGCAGCACGTGAAGACACACGCGTGCACATGCACATGGCTAGTACATGCGAGGCACACGGCAAAGCCACCGGCAATGAGAATGACCACGCCTCTCTTCTTCCGCCCTCGGTCAGCCCCCCTCTCTTTATCATTGCAATGCAAACGCGACTGTCATTTGGCCTTGAACTATATTCAAACCCAGTTCGATCTCCCGCGCCACGCGGCGCGCTCGGCAGCTGACACCGCGCCGCGTATGACTCGCCCGCCCGACTCGTTCTCTCTGGTTCTCTCTCCCCGGCGGCAGGCGGGCTGCAGAGACAGCAGCGAGCCGCGCACGTGGCTGCTCAGCCAGCCCTGGCGAACAATGGCAAATACCGGAAGACAGCGAAAAAGCAAAAAAAGCCCCCCTGCTCGAGGTATTTTGGGACGCAGGGCGAGGGAGGCACGCATGGGCAGGGGAGGGGATCGGGAAGGTGTTATCAGGCCACAGGCCGAAAGGAGGCCAAGTGGCTGGGTGTGCATCTGTGTGTTCGTTTACGGCATGTCTGTGTGTACTGAAACAGAGCCCCCTCCCCTCCCCCTTTCCCCCCAAAATCTCCGATCACCGATAACGATAACAATAAGCGACAAAAAGCACAGTCCTGTGATCCTGTGATACTTAACTGTATACGTACGCGAGTATGAAGCTTTCCGGTAGGTTTTGATTTCTAGTCATTGACGAGCTTCGGAAAATTTTGAAAACCAGGACAGTCAAATACAGTAGAAGGAGGTCAGACAGTGCGAGAACACACAGTTCCTTCGTGGGTTTTTGGTCAGAGTTCTTTGCTCTTTGCCGACGGCCGCTGACGTCACTGCAGAGCTCAGCTCGCCAAAATTACAGGGTTCTCTCTGGAATACACGTCTGAAAGTCAGGGCGAGGACGTGGCGTGATGGCCGGGAGGGCGTGGCGCAGAACGCCACTTGGAACGCCCGCAAGGAGAGGCAAAGGCAAAGGAGGTCTGAACGACCCGCCTCCAGCTCTGATTTAACGAAATCCGCAATGAATAAATTAAAAGAGGGCAAACACGAAGGACGACAACTTGTTGGGTCGCTTTTGGTGGTCGGCGTGGCACGCGTCAGTTCCTACAGCACATGGCACAGTATGTATGTAGGGTCTCCTCGGGTCGACACGCGCTGAGCGCGGGCCTGAGGGGCGGCCTCATGGGGCCGATGTGCGGCGGCGGACCGAAAAGGAAAAGCCACCCGTATCACCCAATAAATCGAGTGCAGCTCGCACGAGTGCGCCGCACCGCCCCGCCCGGGTGAAAGAACTCGTGACGGGCCTCCGAAAATAGACCCCTAACTACACCGCTACGTACTCCCAGCAGTCGAGATGAGTGTCGTCCAGCCCTGCCCCGCCCCGGCCGACCGCCCTCGCGACCGCCCCTGACCCCGACCTTTCGGGCGCGGGAGCGTCATCTGCGACTGACGCCGTCATGCCACGCCTGCTCTGGCGTCTTACAAACGCAGTGGCGGCGGACGGCTGCGGGGCGGGCGGGGGGTCGCTAGGAATGCCCGGCCCCGAGATAAAAAAGTAAAGAGTTTTGCGCAGTGCTGATAGTTGTGGGGGCAGCACGCGGCGGGCCCATGCTGCGGCGGCTGCAGCCTCCAGCCGGCCGCCCGCGCCCTTCGACCTCTGCGTGCGGGCGGGCCGGGCCTGTAGGCCGGGCCGACTCCTGCCCCCTCTCCGGGCGCCGTTACACTAGCAGCAGCTCCGCGCAGCTCCGAGCCGGAGGCCAGTGGGACGCCAAGTGTAACACGGCACTGGACCGCCCGCACCCTCCACCACACCCCTGCGCCGCGCGCCCTCACCGCCTCGCCCCTTCCCCTCACCTCCGCGACAAAGTGAAGCGGACGCTACTTCCAATCGCTTACATAACGGAATCGGGTCGATGGACAAAACGGGACTACAAGGCACGGCACGGCAACTTAATCTCGGACTTAATAAAGCATTTTTTATCGGCGGTATTTATAAACAACGATATCCACGAGCTTGTGTACAGTACGTGAGGCGCGTGTATTCCACAACTAAGAAAAAGTGATAAATCTTCGTTTAAAACACGTAGCAATATTTTCATGCACAAGAGTGGAGAGACCTCTGCACAGGGCAGTGTCCTAGAGATGGAGCCGACCACCGCCGCCGGGGGGTCGGGAGGGACCGGGCACCGGGCCTGGCCGCGAGGAGTCAAACAAGGGAGCCATTCAGAAGCCTTATCGCAGAGCTTCCCACGGCTGCACCGCGCCGGACAAGGGCCGGGGGGCCCTCGGGGTGCCCTCGCGGTGTCCTAGAGGTGTCCTTGGGGTGGCCTAGGGGTAGCTTAGGGGTGGTTCGCTAGGGGTGGCCTAGAGTTGCCCTAGGGGTGGCCTAGAGTTGCCCTAGGGGTGGCCTAGAGGTTCCCAAGGTCTGTCTTGAGGGTGCCCTAGGGGTGCCCGGACACACGTGCCACCGGGCCGGGCCAGCCGTGTGTGGGTATGTAGGGCCACCAGTCCACCCCGCCGACCCGACCCAGACAGCGACCGCGCGCCGAGGCCACAGCGGTGAACCACCTGCGCGACAGCTGACTGCTGTGGGTGCCCTGCCCGCCGCCCCGTCCGCCCCGCAGCGAGTTCCGCGCTTGCCTCTTCTTTTTTCCAGCGATAGAGCGGATAGAGCTCGCTGGGACACTGACACTGGTCAAACAGCTGGGGTGAGGCCGACGCCCTGCGGCCCCCGCCGGGTCAGAGGCCCGCGCACTCCCACACGCGGAAAGAAGCCTGGAATTTGAGCTCAGTTTCGAATCAAATTTCAAACATTTCGATTTTTTAAGAACTGTAGGACAATTTTTAATACTTAAGTTAAATATGTAAAATTTGGTTGAATATTACAAAGAATTTTGAAAATACCGGTATTTGAGGTCAATTTGACAAAATTTCAATAAATTATGTTGCATGTATGTTGTTACATTGTAACATGTTGAATCCCACGGGCCACACGAATGACAATAAAGATGTCGTGTTTGCGACCAACCCTGGGTCCCCACGAGTTGAATGCATTTCATCGCAAAATTTTAGAACATGGACTTTAGTGTGTCCATTTTTATTTTTCTACATAATATTTGCGCATTTCTTTCAACTCAAAGCACGAGATCCGAGATCCCTTTGTCATTTGAAACGTTGAAAACTTTGCGCCAGTACAAAGTATTTTTTTCGGGTTTTATGAAAGTTTTGTCGGTTTTGTCCCAACATGTCGGCCGAAAGAGGCTGAGGCTGAAGTTGACTGACCAGCCGGTGCGCTAACCTCTGAGAGCACTGATGGGACCGGGACCGAGCAGCAGCAGCTCCTTCGCCTCAGACAGACCTGTCGGTGCAGTACGCTGCCCCCCCCCCCTCTTTTTCCCCGCTGTTGCTCTGACACATATATTTGCCACAAGTCCGGCCTACCCTGGGACGGCGTTGGGTGAGCCGCACCGGCGGTACACTATCTTGCTTTCTGCCTGTCTCGGACTCGAACCCACACGAACGAAGAACACAACGAAGATCGGAAACATTTCAAGCTCAATATTTCCGACCAGGTAGGAAAACTTCCAGGGCTGCGCGGGGATTTCTCAAGCCACGGTGTAAAATTCAGTTCTCCATCGCGCTTCATAGATTGTCCTCCCAATCCTTTACCGGGTGCGGCATGCCCCGCGCCGCCGCCCCGCCCCGCCCCGGCGGTGGAATCGTTGGCCGATAAAGTCCCGGCCGGTGGGATCAAGCGGCGGCCCATCTCTCCCCGCCCCGCCCCGCCGCGCCGCGGGGTTGGGGGGGTCACCACCGCGCTGCCCCGCGCCGCGCAGGCTGCCCGATCATGGCATGTCAACACGGCCGCGGGTCGCAAACATGAGTCATGTGATCGCTGCCCTCCCGGCCCACCGCGCGCCGCGGGTGGTGCGGCTGCGTTATCGCGGCGACAAACGCATCAGATCAAGAGCGAGATGTCACGGATCGCCAACATAATGAACCGGGCGGCTGACCCGGCGGCGGCGCGGCAGCGGACCCCGAGCGGGCTGCGTAGACTGGCGGACGCCGTGGACAGCGAAGCAGCGCCACAAACCCGTCTCCACAGACAGCAGCATTAGAGCACACGTAGGAAGGAATACTGGGAGGTGGCCCGCGCAGGCGGCCGGCGCCCGTCGCGCCACCGCAGAGCTGTCCAGCGCCGCGCGCGCGTGCGATCGGTGGCCTAGGCACCGGGCGCTCTGGGACCCCATTGGTACTCACACAGCAGCGGGTCCAGCTTCTCCCTGAAGCTCTTGTTCCTGGTGACGCTGGCGCCGCGGCCGGCCTGCTGTCGGAGCAGCGTGGCGCTGGGGACGCCCGGGTGGCGAGGAGGCTCGTCCAGGGCCGCGGGGTCGTTGTCGTCGTCCTCCGGCGCGCAGCTCGACGACAGGCGCGTGGCCGCCGACGTCGTGTCGGGGGTCTCGGAGCGCCGCAGGAGGTTCTCCCAGCGAGAGGTGTCCCACGGCTCAGAGAACTCGGTCTGCAACGGCAACAGTTACATCACGGCCGCAGCGACGACGGGGAGGTGCGGCGGGCGCGGCGCCGGGCCGAGACTCACCAGGGCGTCCTCGTTGTCCGACGCGTGGTGCGAGCCGTGGTGCGAGCCGTGGTGCGAGCCGTGGTGCTGCGAGCCGACCGAATGGCCTCGGTGGCCGTGCTGGCCCTCCACGTTGTCGTACGCCGACACGCGCGTGCTCGACAGCGAGCTGTCCCGGTCGCCGTGCCTCGGCACGACCTCGGGCAGGGCGCGCAGCTCCGGCAGTCGCTGCAGGATGATGTCCTGCACCGTGACCGCGCCCGGCACCCGCTGCCCGCCGCCGCCGCACTGCCGCTCCTGCGAGTCCTGCCGCTCCAGGGCCTCCTTCGCCTCCCTCTCGCCGTCCGCCTCGCGCTGCGTCTCGTTGTCATCATCGTTTCCTGGGGGGAGGGGGGGGGGGACGAATGAGTTAGTTCGAGCACTGCGACGACGCGCTGCACACCCGAGACACTGGGGAGACTTACCTATGAACTCCCAGCTAGAATCCACGGCCCAGGAGTTATCACTTGCCTTCCCGGACCTTATTCTTGGTGGCTGGACAGGCTTGGCCCTCGGCCGATGATTCACATTATTATTACTACTATTAATATTATTATTATTGTTGTTATTGTTGCTATTGACGATGTTGCTAAAGTTGTTATTAATTATATTGTTGTTGGCTATGCTACCGCTGCTCCTCGAATTCCTCAGCATGGCCAGGTTGTCGGCCGAGGACGACATGTTGGCCAGCTCCTCGGACGAGTCTATCCTCTCCAGGATGCGCCCGCCCGTCACCGACGGCCACTGGTGGAACGCCGACGGGTCCGAGTGCCTCTGCGCCACGCGTGACGCCTGCGGGTAGCCCTGTCGGCAGAACCGATGTGGGGTTAGCGTTAGGATTCAGAGACGGCCGCAGCCCGCACATGCACTACGCAATTTTTAGGTCGTATGTTTCTATAGTTTTTAGCGGCCTTCTTTAGTGAGTCAAAGCTGAATAAGCTTGATCTAGCTGACCTACAGCCCACCACGAGGGAGATGTTACCATTCGTCATGGCCTTTCAAAAACTCAAAACTCTCACTTCGAGCCCTCCCGCTCGCTCCGCCTGCTCCGCGCGCTCACCTGCGGCCGCTGCCTCCGCCGCGCCACCAGCCCGGCCTGCTTGATGGCGTCGGCCGGCTCGGCGTAGAACGGGCTGCCCTGCTTGGCGGGCTGCACGTTGCCGTTGCCGGTGGGGGTGGTGGCGTCCGCGGGCACCACGCCGTGCGGCGGCACGGGCGGCGACCTGCCGTCCGGGGTGAGCAGCGGGCTGCCGCAGTGGCTGCCGTTGGTCGGGGTGAGGTTCCCGCAGGACTGCGAGACGCTGGTGTTGAGCGCCAGGCCGAGCCGGTTGCGCTGGTGCAACAGGCTCTGTGACGGCTCTGTTGTGGGGGCACACGAGAAGACGATCGGTCAGGTCAAAGTTAGGCGCGGAGGACAACAGAGTGCGGCGAGCGGCAACCACTCACCAGGTACGATGGGCGTCCCGACCCGCTCCAGGAGGTCGGGCTGCCGCTGGTGCAGCCGCTGGAGCCCGGACCCCACGCTCGTGTCCTCCGCGGAGGAGAAGGGCGACGAGCGCGAGGCGGCGCGGGGACCGTGCGGCTTGAACGTGCTCATCTCCTGGCCCCAGATGTCCTCGTAGTCGCTCTGCTTGTCGGCCAGCGAGCTGTGGTAGTACACCGACTCGAGGATGTCCGACTCCTGGTAGTGGTTGGACTCCTTCCGGGTGCGGTGGTGCCGCCGGCTGCCGCGCCCGATGGACTTGCTGAGCGACTCGCTGTTGGGCGTCGACGGCGAGGTGACCTGGCTGGGGCCCTGGCTGGCGCCCTGGCTGCGCGGCTGCTGGGGCTGCGCCTGCTGCCCGAACGACAGCGACTGCGACTGGGACAGCGATAGCGAGAGCGACTGCGACTCGGTCAGGTTGCTCACGCTGCTGTGTGATGAGAGCGTGTGCAGCCCGTCCGACTCGAGGGAAGGCCTTTTCGACTGAAATCAAGGTTAGACACACATTGTTAGGGTCGGAATTAATGAATACTCGACAAATTGTATTAATGACATGGCAAAATCTACTTTACGTTTCACTCAATTTCGCAGTAGTTTTGCTCATCCCAATGATAATTATTAGATAACAAAATGTCATTTATACCATATTTTAGGATGGGTAGTCTTTCAAAAATATTTTAGGATAGGTAGTCTTTCAAAAATATTTAAGCATTTTGAAGAAATGCTAAAATGATGCAAGTTTTCCAATTGTCTTACCTCGAGGTTGGGGGGCGGTGAAAGATCATGGCCCTCAGAAGGGGTGGGAGTTTGACTAATAGACAGTGAAGGTTTGGCCCAGCGAGGAGGAGGGGGAGGAGGTGTCTTTCCTCCGAGAGCACTTGGTGTCTGGACACCCTGAGCTGGACTAGCTGAATTTGACCTAGGACCTACACAGTACAAAACACACATTTAGAAAATATATTCATTCGTCAGAACTTACAGAACGTAATGTAAAGTACACAATTCTTAAAATGATAAATGTAATGTTAAAAGCTGTGCGGCATAAAGCAACTGAAAAGCGCACATTTGTAAAAGCAGGAATAGTGTCTTAAAGAGAAAGGTTGGCAAAGACGGCAGCAGATGATAAGTAAGCGACATATTAACAGCAAGAAAACAAGTAGTTCAAATCAAAAATTTTGTCGAGTGTGGGAGACTGCATCCCTTTAATGTTATACCTTTAGACTTGGCCATTTTGCACTCGACAAGTTGAAATCAAACTAAATTAAAAGCAGTAAGAAAGGAAAGAAAGAAAATCAAGGAAATATTGGCAAGTCATGAGAACCTTTCTAATACCACCAACACCATACCATGTACCAGGTGCATCAGGGTGGACGCCACAGTGTTGCCGGTTTGCTTGCCTTGGTGCTCCCTTCCCATCACTCACGAGGCGCGATGCCTCGGCCCCTACGGCTTAGGGATCGTCCCAGAAAGTACGTCCGTTTTCTCATAATCATTCGGCAAATAACGGGAGCTCGGCGCCTGCGAGACTCGGGGTAGGCCACCCCGCCGTACACGTATGCACTGCAGGCAGGATGTTGCCTACTCATCAGGCGCTATGAGACCTTGCATTGGCTGAACTTGGTAGGTTCGTAACAGCGATTGATGGACGAGCTTTCTGGATGATCCCTAAGATGGTATGCAACCCCTTAACACTGCGGCGTCTGCTCTGATTACCCACCGGTACTGTGCTTCACGAGAGATATTCAAAAACTCCAAGTAAGTAAAAACAATTATTTTTCCATTTACAAAAGAGGCATTTAAAAATACATGTAAGATTTTTGTTTGTCTGATAACCACCAGCAAGCCTAAACCCATCACCATAACAAATTAAAAGCCCAGCTTGCAGGATCAAGACTCCCCCAACCAAGTCTGCGAGCAGCTCTCAAGACTAGACGCAATACTTCCTCGACGAGAGGTGAGATGAGCAGTACCTTGTGCTGTCGTAGCGGACACAAGGTTCAGGGTGTTGGGAGGAGTGGGGCGCTGTGCGCGAGAGAGAGCGCTAGTGGCGGACACGGTCGATGTCGTGGATGCGGTGGTGGAGGTGGAGCAGGGCGCAGGCGGCGCCGCGAAGGGTGCGGCGGGCCCCGTACCTGAGGGGGACGTGGGCCCCAGCGAGCACGTCGGGCTGGCGACGCCCTCGCTGCCCTTGCCGAACGTGCTCATGAGGCTGGGCGGCTGCGAGTCGGGCGAGTACACGAGCGGCGCCAGGTTGAGCACGATGGAGTCGCCGTGGCTGTCCAGGTCCAGCGCCACGGGGGTATTGTTGTTGCCTGTGGAGGGAAGACCAACAGTTAGCCTCGTCCTCGTCGGGGCCCTTTAACTTCGGAAAATTTATTTCAAATTTTCTGTGATTTTTTGGAAATGTTTTTAAAAATTCATATCTTTGTTTCCTTCTTTTGTTAGGGCTTTTCATTATTTCTGACTTTGTGCAATATAGTTTTTCCTGATTTTGTGCTTACCGCTACCAAGGCTGCTCAGGCTGCTGGCCTGGCTGTTGCTCCCGCTGCTCCGGATTGTGACGCCCTGGCTGTCCTGGCCGGCTACCGCCTGGTCCGGGGGCCGGGGGTTGGCCATTGGGTACCGCCAGAACTCTGCAAACAGAGAGAGTGCCATACACCAATTTCCAAAACCGATTATCCTTATCAGGTTTTTATAGTTTTTCTAACTTTAGACATGGTTATGTAACAAATGATCAATAAAGGTGTTTTTCGAAAAAAAAGAAAAAAATCGAAACCATACACCATGGAAATAAACGTTCCCATTTTCTTGGAAATACCCCACTTGGGAAAGTCAATTATTGCACATCATCTCAATTTCCCGCTCTACCTTTCCTCCCTTACCCTTACCTTGACCGAGAAGTGCCAGCGACGTCAACTGTTGTCTATTCCTAGCCTCCCGGATCGCCCGTGGAAGTGTTAGCTGCACGGGAAGCTCGTCGCTGCAAATCAGAAAGTCGCGGTTAGTCGTCTGCTCCACGACGACAGTCAAACACTGCTTTGCGTTCCATCACACTCACCAGCACTGGCAGTAGTGCGCAATGAGCTGGGGGATCGAGTCGAAGCGGTTGTCGGAGCTCTCCAGGCTGAGCTGGCCGTTCTCGTTGGCCTGCACCAGGTAGTGCTCGATGTACGGGCCCTTGAGCGGCGGCAGCCGCACCGAGATGGCCATGGTGGCGGCCTGGCTGGACTGCCGCACCACGAAGTTCTGCGAGGGCAAGAGCGAACGGGTCAGGC